TAAACAAAATAGGTATTTCAGTTTTCAGTAGTTTCAGGATGAGAATTTGCATACATATCAGAGTATCACAAAAATGTTCTGTTCTTCCAAGTAAGCAATATTATTAAATAACAAGGTGTGTGGATAGGGGCCATCCTGTGCCCCCAGTCAGGGGATGTTGAATGCTGAAAGGAGGGTTATCTGCAATTAGCTTAAACTTTTGTCTTGCTTTCTTCAGTTCCACTTTTTCACAGGAGTTTGAGGTCTAAACCAACTGTCATCTTCCAGAGATCTCGTTTGTTTTTGATATATTGTCCTTCGCTGCTTTGTGCATTATTCAGAAAGGAAAACAAAAAACCCCAAATGGTTTGATTAAAAAAAAAGTAGGAAATGATCTTTTGACTGAAAAGGTGTCTTTCAGAGCGGTGTTTCTTCTGGTTGATAGCCAAAATGAAGAGAAGAAAATCTCTGTTTAACTTTGTAGAGCTTGTTTGTTGGGAAACTTTAATTGCTTGCCAGTACAAAACAGACCAAAAATGTGCTGCCATTTTTATTTTGTTTGATTGCTACAGGAAATTAATTATGTTTTCTCTAATTGGATTTCTCGCATCATGGCCAGCTTTCTGAAGAGCATAGCCTAACACCGGGTGCATGCAGTAGATCTGATGCTCTGATTTCACAGTGGGAGCTTAGCAAAGGATCTGTCCCAGGGCTGCTGTTACTTTAGGGTGTTTATTTTGGGGGGTGCGTGTCCTGAGCAATGCAGCGGATACACAGCTTCACAGCAGCACATTCATCATCAGTGAGTGGCTGATCCTGACCCCATCAGAGTTTGGTGCCCTTGAGCAGAAGCAGCAGCTTGTTGCAGCACGTCTACAATCGCAATAAGTACAAAGCCCAGCTTGTTTCATACTGCAGAGCAAACTCTCTGTAGGAGATGCTGGTGCATATGGTACTGAATCTCTAACCTGCAGCCTGCTCCTGCTGTAGGACTACAGCCCTCTGGTGGTACCTAATCATGTATTTTGTGAAGAGCTGCATAACATTATAGCTAAAACTCAACTTTGGGCCCTGACCTTTATGCTGTTGCCTGGAGGGATAGGAATATCTCTGGAGGGGGAAAAGTCCCAAAAGCAGGGTGCAAGTCAGTATCCAGCTGTGATGCGCTGCATGGAAATCACCCACCAGAGAATAAAGCAAATATGAAGACTGTATGCAAGGCGGCTTAAGAAGTGGGAGGGTATAGATCTCACAGGTCTGGGAGAGACCTCAGAAATCATTGCCAGGACCCTGGGGGCACTAAGGATACACCCCCCCCCCCCCCCCCGTACTGTTCTAGCAGTCATCAGTAAACTCTTCTCCTTCCTAAGGTAGGATGAACAAAATATCCCTCAGTCCTGGGTGATGTTTGCTTAGCCTGATCTTTAAAATGCTGCAGTGACTGAGATTTTGCAATCTTTTTATTTCCTGTGCTTCATTAGAGGAACAGTTAAGACTACTTTCCTCATAGCTTGTTTATATCTTACATTGCACAGTTTAAGCTCATTATTTCTTGTCCTATTCACTATGGATGTGGAAAAGAAAAAAAAAAAGCCCCAAACCTTTTTTTAGCTCTCCTGGACTCTTTTGTATTTGAATATACCCCCTTTGAGTCTTCCTTAAAGCTAATCAGCACAAATTCATTTCATCTTCCTCATTGGTCGTATTCACAAAGAAGTTCTGCTTTGAACATCTTCACAGCAGCTCTTTTCAGCCATGTGATAGGACGTCCTTGGATGTGGCTTTTGAGCGTCAGTTCTCAAAATGAAGAATAACCTCAATTTCTATCTAATGAGACCTTGCCATGAAATGCTCGTGACGCATTTCATTAGCATGCCTGGCTCTGAAGTTTTGTTCTGGACTATAGGAACAGGAAACTCTGGGCTATAGCATCAGGCTCTGAAAAAAGCAAATAACTTGAAAAGACAGCAATAGTGAACTGAATGCCCCAGCTGGACTGTACTGGTAGAGCACCACTGTTGATCTGTGATCAGTTCATAGCAGCTGAACAGACAGACCAACAAGCTGTCATATTATTACTGAGAAAATACCGAGCTTGGAGGATTAATTTGAAAACCCTGAGCAGGCTGTCTGTGGGGATCTGTTTCAACTCTTATTCTGTCTTGACCCATTGATGTCAAAAGGGTTTTCCCCATGAGGAAAGGAGCAGAGCTGGAAGTCCCCTGGGTACGGAGGGTGGGTGCAGGAGTCCCAGGGTCGTCCTGTCACCACAGTCAGCACAAGCTCAGCTGCCAGACTGGCAGACCACAGCTAGGGCTGGGCCTGTTCTCAGCAGAAAGATATGGCTTCATTTGGATTTTTTAAAATTTGTTTTGATTTAGCATGAGGAGCTTGTGTTGGCTTAGCCAAGCAGTAAGGGGTACAAGCAGTTTGATGGCACTACCAAAATATACTAATATTTTGCATAAGAGATATAGCCAAGTTAGTCTGAAAAGGAGTTTACAGCAATACAAGCAATTATAGAGAAACAAACCACCCACTTATACCAGGGATTTATTGAGCTGTGCAGCAGTAAGTAAACACCTGTTCTGGGTTAATGGTGTTGTATCACATAGAGCATTTAAACTGCAAAGAGCCAGCCTTCTGATTTTGTTCTCAGAAAAACAAGTCACAGGTATTCTGGGGGCAAAGAGGAAAAGTTGTTTCCTTTTGTTTCTTTATGTTCCTTCTTCTTTATACTGCAGGCATTATGTTAAAAAGATGGTATATTTTGTATAGACGTGTTTTTGTATATACAATCACTGAATCTAAAAAGCCTCCAAGCAGCGGTTTGTCAGACACTTCATTAATGTGTGCATGGATAACCTTTCAGTTCTTGAGCCATCTCTAAACAGGTATCGTTCTGCAGGCTCCCTTTGTAAGAAATTCACCTTGGTGGTCCATTAGATGAGCCAAATAATGCAGTGCCTAACAGCATTGATTTTTCTGTGGTGTTTCTGATGCTCCCTGTTTGAAAAGAAGAATAAGAGTTGCAGTCTAGACCAAACTGTTTTTCCTTTCAGGCTGTGTTGTTCTGGTTTGCTGCATTCAGGTGTTCATGAGCTGTGTCTGGAGACCAGGGTGTCTCCTTAAGCCACCTAACTAAAAGTCAGAGTTTCCGCCACAGAAAGTCACAAACACAGACCCTGAGTGGCGTAAGCTTGCTTTGGCCCAGGTGTTTATCGCAAGTCAGCAGGGGCAATAGCCCAAGGTGAGATCTTCCCGAGTCAGGCATCCTACCTGAGAGAAATATATGTAATAGCAAAATGTGCCATAGCATATAAAAATACATGCTATAGCAAACCTAGATTTTCCTAGTAGAAAGTATGAGATAAATTTTAATGATAAAAATCGGCACTGCAAGTATTCTCCTGCAGACAGATCTCTCTGTTTAGGGACACAGTGGATCTCTAAGAGATCTCCATAGAAATTTTCATTTTATTACCTAAGTAGTTAAAGTGCATGGAGTCAGGGCTGCTTCCAACCCTAGAGAGACTGATGGAATAATACTCACATAGGCTGTTACTGTACTGAAAGGCTATCTAAAGCCTAAAAAACTCTTGGCATGATAGTATCCAGCAGATATTTTATATCCCACAATCTAGCAGAATCTACTTTCTGATCTCTTCTGGAAGGCTAACGCTGTAAAAAGCTCAGCTGCATTGTTCAGCTGGGCAGGCTTGTCCAGCCAAAGAGCCGCAAATGCCAATGTGTTTGTGCGGCATGGAAAGCAGTGCTTTTATGTCCACTGCTATATAAAGATCCCAAATGTTTCTAAAAAAACTACCTCTGTTTTACTATTCATGTAGTTCAGAGGCTTCATGTGGTGCTGCACAATGCTTGTGCAAAGCCTGCTTTGATTTTCTGAAAGGTCATTTGATCTTCCCCTGTTGTACATCCAAATAATCTGAAGCAGAATAGGGAAGATACAGAAAACCTCTAATGAACTTTTTGTTCCTTCTCATACAGATTCAGTAACACAGAAATGAAACTTCAGAGTTGCCTGAGCACCCAGCTTCTTTCTTCACCTCTGCACTTGCCATCAGTGAGGCCACTCTCCCTTGAGGTTCCAATACATGCGATTTAAAAATTCATGTGTGTCTATTGAAAAATGAAATTATTAACAGAGATCTCAATGTTTGACTTTACGGCTGAGTGAGTAGAAGAACAGGCCCAAGAAACAGGATTTTGCAAAGGGAAAGACTGGAAAAAAACTACTAGAGGAGATACATCCATCACTTCCAGAGAAATTAGAGCCTCTCAGGGAATGGCAGCAATGAGACTCCATTATGGTGGGAGTGAAGCGAACGAACGAAGGAAGGAAGGATGGTAGCTCCCCATGGGATAGTGTGATATCTCCAGCAAGTCATGAGAGGAAATGCCACTTAGATGTCCCCAAGGAAGCTGGCCTCCCGACAGGGCCCTGTTAAGCATGAGGCTTTTAGTACCACTGTTGCTTTGATGCCTCTCGTGTCAGATAGAAACAACCTGCAGAAAAGGCTGACCTGAAGAAGCATGAAGTGAGACCCAAACAGCCAAATCTTGTACTTGGAGCAGGAGTCACACACCATCATCCTGAACAGTCATAAAACTGTCAAATAACAAAAATCAAGCTGTGCTATCCACTCAAACCAAAATCCTGGCTCAGCAGAAGGCCACTGCTCACAGCCCTGGGGACAACACCATGGGACAAAGCTCTCCCCTCAGCATGGCCACGAAAAGCTTTGAGCTCAGCCTCTGAAACTGCAAAGCGCTTGTTTTGTTGTCTGTGGATAACACTTTAATCCACCGAGTGAAAGCTGGACGTTGCTCTCTTTGATTCTGGCCATACACAATTGCAACGCTCAAAAAGAAAAGCCCCTCGCTCCTCCCATACCCACAGCTCCTCCGAACTGCTGATGCCTGGACAGGCAGCCCCAAGGCGGGGCCATTGGCATTTATTTAATTCACTGCTGCAGATGATGCCTTTAGTGCCACAAACCGCCCTGGAGACAAGTCCTAATCACCTGGGGGGGTGATTATGTTTAGTTCTTCCTCCCCAAACCCCCCAGACATAATTCAGATCCAAACTGGAAAGACAGGCAGGCACACAAGAGGGGACCCCGGCACCACTCAGCCCCCCCGAAGCCATGTACAGGAGCAGCTTCCTCCGCGAGGTGCGCAAGGAGAAGTACGAGCGGTCGGATGCTTACGATGAGCTGCGAGGCTCCCCTGAATTCGACAGCTTGGCCCAAGCCCGGGGCCTGGAGAACCTGCAGGAGTTCAACGAGCGCTTCGCCAGCTACATCAACCGGGCGCGTGTGCTGGAGCAGCGCAACACCATCCTGCGCAAGCAACTGGAGACCTTCCAGCGCATGGATGAGCTAGTGGGCTTGGACGAGGCCTTCGCCGGACAGATCGAGTTCAACCGCCAACGAATGCGTGAGTTGGCATCTGACCGAGCCAAGCTGGAGCGGGAAGAAAAGGATGCCCAGCGCATGCTCGATGAGTACCGCAACAAGTAAGGCTTGCGAATGGAGGAAGATAAGTGGTATTGTTTCTGTAGTTAATCTTTGTAGTGCCAATGGGTTTGGTGTCACTGGCTGCTTCTCATGCATGGGTGATGCCTCTCCATGTGTATCAGACTTGTAGTCAGGGATGGAGTATAAGCCTATGATGAAAAGCAAGGTGTCAGGACGTAGGAAGCTCCAGCTCTCCATTTCATGGTCTCACAGCTACTAGATGGGCAATTGCCCTCTTGTTTCCGTGGCAGCAGGTCTTCGACGTGGCACATGTTGGTTGCTGTTGTTAATTAGCTTTAGGGGGACTGTGATCTGAGCTGCAAAGAGGGAATAACCCATTTAAAAAACCAAACATCTTGAAGGAAATCTTGTGTCTGAGCAGCACAGAGTTACATGACCCCAAACATCTCCTGAAATGTGTGGGACATCTCTGAGAAACTCATATTTACAGGCATTGTGAGGCACCTGGGCCAGTCTGTGCCATCCATTACAGATGCAGCATGGAAAGAAAGTAAATAGTTTTTTTCCTGGTATGTGAAATTTGCCTAATCACCCTCCTCTTCTCCCTTGCATCCCATTATTTCCATCTCGTGCTACTAAAGCAATAGCTGTAAGAACAGGTTCCCCCCTAACTTTACCTCTTTAACCTCAGTGGCACCATAAATCAAAGAGCGGGAGCCTTGGGGTCTGAGGCATACGAGTGCCTCCAGACACATGTGGTCCCTTTCCTTCAGCAACAGGCAGTGTTGGCCATGCTGCTTAATTAATTACACAGTGAGACTTGGTGAGCATTCTCATAAAAAGACTGCTCACAGGAGAGAAGGGTCTTGGCTTCCTCTTACTTATGGGTCAAGTTTTTTTTTCCCCTAAACATCTGTCTCGCTAGTTCACCCAGGGAAATTTGGCAGCAGCATGGAGGCTGAAGAGGAGCTTTTCATCCTCTTCCCCACCAAAGGGTGAGGGGTGAAACTCCATATAGCATGTTTTAGCTTAGAAACACTTCTCACTGACAGTGATGGGAAGAAGAAAAATTAAATACTTTCAACAAACGCAGTCTTGGTATATAGTGCAGCCACTCCCAGGCAATGTTCACCACACTCACCAGAAGCATTCTTAATAAGGCAAAAGGTGAATCATCTGGGGCACTGTCTTGTTACTGCAGAAATATGAGTCCCTCAACATTTCATTCCTTGTCTCCATAACAGACTTTTTGTCCGACCTTCCCCAAATGGCATGATTTGTCTGTCTGATCCTCTACTCATTTTCCACTCCTCTGGACTAGTAAGACTGATAATATTTTCCTTTTCTGTCTCAAATCATTTTTCAACTGGAAAGAGACAGAAAGCAGATGCGAGACAATTGACGTCGAGGCCACCTGTGTCTTTAGCCTGTGGTCCGATGATACATTGCAATCAGCAGCCATACTGCAGCCTCACCCTGCCCTCCCAGCCCCGCACACTGCTCTGTGCGCACTACCTCGTCGTCTGTGGTGTGTTAGAGCCTTGCCATGCTACTGAAACCAGAAGCATTCCTGTGCTGGAGACCTGCTCTCCTACATGGGTCTGCGCTCACCTGGCAGCAGGCAATGTGGGTTTCTTGCTTCATTTTGAAACATAAAGCATCTACTTTTAGCACACTCTGATTAACAAAATCTCTTTGAGTACTGAATTGTGTACCAATTAACTGACAAATGCCTGTGTCCTTCATCAATGCAAAGAATTTTAGCTCTTACAAGCCATTCTTTTACTCACACACACAATTTGGAAAATAGATTTATGCCTATAAGTAAACCTTTAAAAGCTACATTTATATAAGTAGACCTTTTAAAGCCACATTTAAACTCAGTAGGGCCTGAGACTACCGGGTCTGTACAATTAAATGTGCATGAACCATTGAAAAGCAGATCTTATGTTAAAATTTGTTTTTAAATCCTCTCTAGCCACATTCATAGCTTTTCACATTAACATCAATAATTCAGACTGTACTAGTGGAGAATTCTTTCTCTTGAAGCTGCAAAAAAAGCATCAGTAAGAATTGTTTGGATGCATCTCATAAAAAGATGCATCCAAACAATTAGCGTAAAATTATGTTAATTTTATCAAGCATCATTTTCATAGCAATGTTGCATCTGGCCATAGCAAAGGACTCTCCATGATATTAGGAATTGATGCTGAAACCCAGATTTTAGCACCCTTGACTGAACAGGATTAATTAACTTCAGAAATTTAAAGTCTTGCTAATCAACCATTTAATTTAAAATTAATTCAGTGCTAATCTTGTGGGTTTTGTATACAATACAATTCCCTGGAAGTTGCTAGACATGGTAATTGGCACTGTCTTCTCCAAGCTGCACCGTGTGGTGATGCTCAGATGAGCTGACAGCCTTTGGGGCCACAGTGGAGACCCAGCACCCAGGAGAGAAAACAAAAACAAGCAGAAAAACAGGATAGCTGGGATATGGTGAGCAGTAGAGACTCCGTAGCCCATGACCATCGGCAAACCTGTCTTCAAGCCCTGTCCACAGAGGTTGTGTCCATGCTGCCGCTGCTTCTCTGGTGATAGGGAGAGTTTTATCCTATTGCAGCGGCAGGTGAGGAGGTCCTGACAGCCCTCCACCCCCTTCTCGGACTGCCAAAGTCTTGCCCCGTGGCTGACAGCCACCTGATAGCAGCTTCTTGATAATGCAGGCAGCGATCTGTTCATAGATCAGCATAGCAGAGCCCTCACGGGGCTCATCCTAGCTTTCAGGGTATGAAATACAGACATTATTGGCCTGTCCGTCATCCTTGGAAGACCATAATTTTGCAGTTTTTGCTCTCTGGCACCCAAATGACTGCTGCCTCTATTGAGAAAAGGCCAGCAAAGTGCCTCAGGGGAACTGAAATGGACAAAAGTAGTAGAAAAGTTTATCCTCATCTTGTGGCAAGCCAAGAGGTTTCATGTATGGAGGAGTTCAGTAGGGTTCAACAGAGAGGCAGCATTTCTCTTTATATTAAAAGCACAAACTTAACACTAAGTTGAGTATCTGACCATTGAGCATTATGAGGATGTATTGTGACTGTTTTCTCTTTGGAGGGGCGCCAGTGCTTGCACTGCCACAGAGGCAGGCTCCGAAGAAAAACAACAGGGACCTTGCCCTGGCCCCATCTTTTAAGAGCAAGCACAGCCTGTTTGTCAGCTGTGGATGGGAAAAGAGATTTACAGCACTGCTGGAGCTGTGCTTCCCGGGTAGAGAAACAAGGCCAGCAGTGGGCTACCCTCCTGCATGCCCGATGCTCCCACCAGTGCCCTGAGCTGTGAGGGGGCTCAAGAGGCTTAGCAGATAGCTGGAAATTTGTCAGTGCCCCAACAGAGAGCTGCTAGGCTAAGAGGTGAGGTAATGGGAACCTCCTTTGTTGGAGCCTGGCAGGGCTCTCTACTCCACTTCTTTTCCCCTATGCAAAAAACCCAATTAATATCCATTTTTTTTCGAAACAGTCCACAAAGGTTTGTTGCAGCCCTTAAGCTACTTGACTAGATGAAGAAAGTTTTGTTTGGTTTTTTTTTTTTTTAAAGAAGCAAATTAACTTCATGGCTCTTAAGGTCCAGGAAAGGCTGACCAGCAACCATCTAAGAAAAGCTTGACTTCTTTTCAACATGTCCAGCTGATTACTTGAACACTGAAATCAGGTTTGAAGCATACCAGGGCTGCAATTTGTCAGCCACTGCATGTACTTAGATACATTTCAGCAGACACAGAGTTGTCTTTAGGCCTCAAGCATTTCTAAGAGGTGCTTACCCCTTTTGCACTGAGCTTCTGGAGTAGATTGAACAGCAGGTCTTTGAGTTATTTGAGAGTGAAGGAAAATGTAGCTGAATATTTCAGTTATTGAGAGAAATTTTGAGTGAGGACCTAGGAACTAGGCAGATTTGACCAGGTCTGAATGACATTAGGGCCAAGGTTTAGACTCTGACTCTGTAGGGTGGTTATATATTACTAGAAGTATAAACCCAGCCTTTTATTGTAGCTGTGTATTTGATTTTCACAAGCTGACACAATCGCTTCATTCGTGCTCAGTTGTCAGAAAGTATCTAAGTTAACAAAGTCGTTTACTGTCAACTGCACACAAAAAAAGTTATAGATAGAAAACTGTTTGGAGGTGAGCTGCTTAATAAACAACGGAAACAACAGCAGTCTCGCTTTTGAAGCTGAACATTCTTGGTTGTACCCTTGGAAGTGAACCCAATGTCAATACAATTTGGCAGAGACATTGGTTTAGTTTTGTCAGAAAATAGCACTTCAGCTGAGTGCTATCTAGGAGTGATAATGAAATAAAACCTCATCATTTTCACTTGTTTCTTTGCTGTTCATTGTAAGAATGGTAAAACAGGACCAGTGACCAACCCTGCTGACATTATGGGATTTCAAAAGAAGGGAAAGTTTGGAAACCAGAGCACCAAGTTGAGTCAGTTTCTTTGTTCTGCCAGATTCTGCTTTTGTGGTCCTGGTCAGTTCGTGAGTGACCTCATCCCCTCAGCTTTCCAAGACGTTGAAAGATATGAGAATAACATTAGCTGTTCATCCTTCAGGAGATAAAAAGAAAGAACTGAGGTTGACATGACCATTGTAACTTGATCCTTGATGTGTTCAGTCCAGGAACTGACAAGTTCCCTGTTGACTGGAGCACGTCCCTTAGATGCCACCAGCGTATCTGGGCTGAATCAATGATTTCAGAAAACAGAAGGGGGCTTATGTTTAATTCGGAATTTCAGCCAGGGTTCGTGCTTGTATTCATGTCCATTGCTTGTACTGCAAATGAAGGACGTTCACCACCAGAGTTGACTTGTCACCCACCATAAGGATTTCTTGTAGAAAGTGAGAAGTTGACAGCTTTTGGTATCTCTGTATCTCTGTCACTTTAGGGAAAGCAAAGAAATAGGAATAGACTGAATTCAGGTACTTTGGCACTGGCAGCAGATGGAGTTTGATGAAGCTCTTGTTCAGTACTGGTGGCAAAGTCGCATTGCCTTGTACTGTAAGATGCTTATGGCTGTTTTTTCTCTTAGTGGGGTCTCATTAAACCATGTTTCCTATTAAACACTTTATATATAGTTTATTTAGGGAAAGGAATAAACAACGATGATCAGCAATTATGAAGTTTTGTATGCTGCAGGTAAAAGGATTTTCTAGAAAACAATTCTATCTAACATACAAATACAGAGTCCTAATTCTTACAGAATAATGTGCTGTTTCCTCAAGTGAAAGATAAACACAATGTACATCCATTGTTCACTCAGTACAGGAACATGGACTTGTGGACATTCTATAAACGCATAAGAATAGTTGGCTAAATGCAGTCCTTACTAAGACTCACATGTGATTTTTACCAAACTGAAATATGAATTGCTATTAAAGAGGACACAAAGCTTGAGTTATCAAAGCATCCTAATACAACATTATTCACACACAATCAATATGTGAAATTGCAACCTTTGTGTTTAGTGTGTCTGTAGTGAAAATGCTTATTGAACAGCATCCGTTAGAACAGAAAACCAAGTGCAACGTAATTAAATGCTAATATGCCAATGTAGCAAATATTCACATAGTAACCACTGATGAATAGCTGTCACTGTAGTCCAACACCAATTGAAGACACTTTTATTGTAAATAATCTGTTCTTGGGCTTTCTGTGAAAAAGTGGTAGCAAATGTGTGGCATTCCATTGTCTTCCTCTATGCAAGTTGAGGACAAGAAGTTAGTCAATTCTGGAATTACTCTCAGCATCTGGGACCAAAAAAAAAATTTAATGCTAATGCTTAAATAAAACTTTTGGGCCCCTTCAAGATTCATATTCTGCTTCAGTGTGAAGCATATATCGTGCATGATAGTGCAGATGACAACGGAGTTTGCAGAAGGATGAACTATTGAACCTCATCTCCTTTGTTCTGTTTCAGGTATAGAAATGAACGTGAATATCAGCAGAGGCTAAAAGAAACCCTTGAACGCCTTAATAAGGTAAGCCTGGAAAAATGGAAAGGGAAAGGTCTTTATAATTTTTTTCCTTTGGTTTCATTTGCTACAGCATGCTGCTTTGAAGAAGCAGTGGGAAGATAAAATGTCAGAACAAGGCTTTTCTTGTCATTATGCACTGATGAAAAGTTCTCTTTCACCTCCATCCCCTTGTGCAAATGGCTGAGCCTCGCCGTGTGCCTACGCACTGTGTAGCACCCTGCTCTGTACAGTCCTGCTGATTTTGGTTGTGTAGCATGTGCCATCTGCAGCCCACAGCCTCAGCTGTGCACAGGAAGTCATTAATTTTTCAGTAAGACCAAACACTAGGAGGATCTACTTACTGCATAACACTCCTTTTAGAGCATCAGCAAATGGCTCCTGCGTTTGTTTCAGGACCTGGAGTTGACATATGTGTTTCTTCCTTTGCAAATTCACCCTTGCTGAAGATCTGGCACACGTTTAGGTGCCTTTAATAACTCCTTTAACACTCTTTTTTTAACTCAGAACACAATTTCTCTTTGAGCAAATTATAATCTACATTCAGAGGTAGGAAAAGCCCATCTGTTAGTCATACCATGCAGCTAGTACACATATCCAAGAGTCCAGAATATGACTGGAGAAAATGTGTTGCTAAATACCATCTTCCCCCCTTCCCCCCTTTTTTTAATACAGCTACTGTATGAAAGTATATTTAGAAATGATATGGCATGAGAAAATGCTTATTATGTCCAAGCCTTGAAGTTGTGGGTCTCGAAGCTCCTCAGTCCCTTTCAGGATATGGTCAGCCCTTCTCAGGAGAGACTCTCAGCTTCCCATTAGGTTTCCAAATAAAAGAGAAGCCAGAGCCCCCCCGATTTGTTCCTTTCACAGCAAAACATGAGGAATGTTTATATTGAGCTGCACTTTCCTGAACTAATACCATGGGAAGAGAAATAATAACAATAATAATAATCATGCTCAGAGAAAAGATAAAAGGTTTACTAGCATATTTAGGAAGTTTCCAAATCAATTCTGTGAAACTGAGAAAGCCTGATTCATCCTCTCTTGCTACTAGCTTTCATCTGAGTAAATAAAGTTGTATTATATCTTCCCCCAGTTCTATTTTTCACAGCTCATCCTTCATCTTCTCTAGTGGGAAACAGTTATGGGTGGATTAAATAGAGATGTGTTTTAATTTCCTCACTACAAATGGCAGGAGCTGTTTTCCTTGAGCACTGTGATATCAATGACAGGCATGTTTTATATTAAAAAAAAAATAAGTGTGTTTTAGCATTTCTATCTCCAGTGAACTCTAGATATCCTGCATCAGGGCTATTTTCCAGCATGCTAGCAGGGCTCCTGGACACCCTGCAAGTTCTTGAAAAGTATTTGTGGAGACAAATATTTTGTAAGGGGTAGCTGGAGCTGGTGAGTCCATCTTCACAGTTCCTCTCAGCCAGTCTGTGGCTAAAGGAAAGTGGATTAATGTGACAACCCCAGGCAGAGCTGACAAGATCTTGAGCCACGGAGGGCTGTTTTCATCCAAGGATGTGTCAGGGCTGCCCCTGGCTGCTCCCACTGAGGCACCGAATGCTGGAGGGAACACAGTTGATGTTCAGTACAGTGCCCAAGACATAGCCTGAAACATGTGCAGATGTAAACTCATGCCTCTTCGACAGATGGAGAATCAGTCTGGAAAATCTGCAGTGGTTCTGGAGAGATCTAAGGGATTTCTCTTCCATGGTAAATGAAAATGCTGCTTCAGCATATGGATCAACGTTCTGGAATCAGCACCTAAAGAAGAATGTGTTTTTTTGAAGTCGTGTGAATACCGAATACTGTAAAGTTTGGAAGAAAATGTGTAGGTTCTGATACACAGCATCGATGCATCTGGTCTATCTGAAAGCACGGAATAAAAGCAGAAGTATTTTTTTCCCCTTTGAAGGAACATTTAGAAAGCCAAATGCTGCTTTTGCTTATTACATGCAGAAATATTTGCTTATCAGTATTATCTAGGGGCCTGGGGGCTTCTTTTTTTTTTTTTTGCTCCCCCCCCCCACAACATCCCAACATGGCCATTGTCCTGCTGATCTTCCTTTCAATAGGAAGGCAGAGGAGTGCAGAAAAGCACTGGGTGTTTCTGATGACTGGTTCTGAATGTGCTGGTCTGGATGTGTCTGAATCAGCCGTTGTCTCACAAAGCAGAGAGACTGCTGGAGAGGCCTCTGGCTGGTAGGCTCAGCCACATAATGAGGCAGCTAACATCTACACATTTTTGGAATAGCGCATGCTGTGCACTCACAAAAAAGAAAAATCCCTTTCTGCCAGTCATATGCAGCACCCATAGATTTCAGTCTTTTACTTGTCATGATCCGCTCATGGAAAAATATTTACAGCACGTAGGTAGTTTTAAAGGGACACCTTTAAATAATTTTTTATTTTTTACACTTTGAGTTAAATGCAGATATTGAGACTTTCTTGCAAACTGGGGGAGGGACTTATAAATTTTGTAGAGTTGCAAGGAAGATTCAGTTGACAACTTTCAAGATACTTCCTCAAAAGCAATATTTTACAGTATTAGTTAATGATAAATCTAACCAAGAAGGAATGCACTAAGTAGAAGAATAAAGCTGTTCCCATCACACTTATATGTTAGTGAAATATATTGCTAAGTTCCATGGAAATCATTCTGTATTCAAGGGCTTGTATTAAATAATGTAACATAGGAAATATCTAAATTAGACCTTTGAACAGAAATTGAGATTTCACTGGATTTAAATACCAGTGCCACTCATATCTATGTACTTTGAGATGATGATTGTTAGTCCTACGCCTTGTCCTCTGAATTAATTAGACATTATGAACTTTAGTCCTCACAATCCCCAATATGTTACAAACTTCTGCAGCAAACTGACTTTTTCTGGACTTGCTCATTTTTCATTTCCAGAAATGTCTCCAAACCTGGCAAACATTTGTGATATTTGAGAACACACCAAAAGGAGTGAAAATGCTTTGGACCTCCTGGGTTTTTTTTTAAGGAATTCTTTACTGGGGATATTAAAAAGGTGTCAGGATACCTCAGGTCCTGTCATAAACACTAGAGAAATCCATGCCCTAGTCTGTTGATGTCATCTGCTTAAGGTTCATGCACGATGGCAAGCTTTTAGCATCAAAGACTGTTACTTCATAGCGTCTATTACTTGGCTCCCAGCACTCATAAAGCATATGGTAAATGTATTTTGACAGTGCTGGTGCCAAACTGTATCATAAATTATATTTGTGTGGAAAAGCAGCATGTACAATCAGAGAACACGGTGAATAAGGTGCCTGTTGTTTGCTGGTTTCATAATGCTTTTGTTTCTCCCAGCAGGCTTTAATTCTTCACGCAGCCTGCTACGCATGTAAACAACTCACGTTATGGCTAAGTGGCTGCTGTGGTTTGGGCACTCCAGCCATATGTACTGACCGTACTGTGTGTCTCTGCATTGCAGGAAGCTGATGAAGCACTGCTGTGCAACCTGGAGTTGCAGATCGAGTCCCAGTTCCTGCAGGATGACATTAATGCCACAAAGGACAGATACAAGAAGGTAACTGTCTGAATTTACAATCTTTAGATCTTCTAGAGATGTATGAAGCCTTGCCCTTCTCCCTGATCTATTCCAGTGGCAAATTAAAGCAAATCCCGTTTTGTGTTTTGGTGGGTAAATACAGCACTGCATGTTTTCAGTGGGCACAACAGCTGCAGTGTGGAGGTCAAGCCCAACAGCTGGATGGCTGCAAGCATCCAAATTGACTCCTGTAGCTATGTCTTGAATTTGTTGACTTGTTATCATGATTCAGCCCAACAGGCTGGTCAGGCTGTCCTGAATTTCATGCTAAGAAGCTATTGCTTTCATCAGAGAGGGATTCCCAATTTTCTGGGCCAGAGAATTCCAGTTAATCAGCAGACATAAGCCTGTGGCTGTATGATTACACTGCAGCTAACTTTAACACATGCAGCCCCCTTTTCCTTCCTGGGAAAGAGCTGTGAGGCTTGGGATCAGGCCAATCTTTGCTGCTTTTGAAAGAAGCAGCTCATTTTTTTTGGACCACATGCAAGAGTATTTGTGGTTCTTATTTTCACAATTTCCTGTGAAATTGGAACTCACAGAATCTTTAATTAAAACTATGAACTATATTGTCACTTAGCCAAATGCCTGTAATTTATCAGGTCTAAAGCCACGTTCCAAAACCAAATCCGAACACTAACTTGACTTTTATACGCTGAAAGAAGTAAATATCTAGGAATAATCCCCAGAAGTGGAGCACATGGAAGGGAGCACCTTGCTATGGCATTTGCTGATGAAAATGTTTTTTACTTCACCATAGAACCTTATGGAAATCCAGACCTACGTCACTGTTTTGCAGCAGATCATCCAGACAACTCCTCGTGTGTCCCCTATAACCACTGGCATATGTGAGGTAAGTATTGCTGTCAGTAAAATCATGCTGCTCGAAGTAAGAAAGAGTCAATGTTTATTCACAAAATTTATTCCTGTAACACTCCCTTCAAGGTTAGATGAAAACTGCAACAACTGTAAGTACTAAATTCTGAATATGAGAGAAAAAGTCTGTAGCTTTGGAAAACAGAATTGGTCAGGAGAGGAGAGGTTGCATTAGTCAGGTGCACTCCAGCATATGTATTAACCCCCAAAATGGCTAGTCCGAAGATAGTTGAAGTAGTTGTGTTTCCTGTCTGAGGAGGAGCTGGCAGGATATATGAATATTTTCAGAGAAAGTAGTAGTTGTCCTGAAGGAGCAAGATGTGGTGAAAATTTGTAAATCACATAGATTCACTAGATGAAAACTTGGTGATTCCAACCAGTCTGAGTGGCTCTGACAAAAACGTTTATTAGTTGGAAGAAGATATGAAGAGCTGTATCTAGAGGGTCTAATTTCAACATAACTGTACTTCTGCAGGCCTGCCATCTGACATCTTTTATTCTCAAAGCCATGCCACAGGGATTTCCTTGAGGTTCAAGACACATCTTTTTATTTGTCTTTTGTAATTTTCTGTTTGTCTTTACAGTTTATTTCCAGTAGCGGAATTTCTTTGTCTCTTTTTAAAAGAGTGAAACATACTTTCCTGTACACACATTGTTTTCTTTGAACCAGGAAAAACTGATAGCGGAGAGGAGGATCCCTGTGCTGCAAAGCCAGCTGGAGGAATACAAGAGCATCCTCTGCCAGCTACAGGCACAGAAATACAAACTTCAGACAGAGGTACTGCCATCACTATCCATAAACACAGCTATAATGCTCATGAACTCTGCTCTTTTTACAGCCACAGCTCTTAAATTCTTGAGCGTAACTTCCCTCACTAGGGCACTCAGGGACAATGCTACCCCAGGTTCTTTCCTTGGTCTCTTTCTTGTGTCTGATGCTCTGGTGGAAAGGACAAAGAGGCTCTTGGAAGCGCAAGAATCAATATAGTGATAGGAGATAATGAATCAATATAGAAAAAAAGGGGAGAAAATCACTCTTCTGCTGGCAGATGGCGAGAGGCACTCTGGGGGATTAATCGTGCTGCTTTCAAAATCAAATCTTCATGTCCCATTTAGAAAGAGTTTATTAACTCATTCATTCTTGTGCCTTGAGATAAAAAGAGTGAAATAACTTTACGAACGGAGGTTGATGACATGGTTGCTTGTGACAGTGAAGGCTGGAGCTGATGACTGAAGTGTCCTTGAGCTCCTTCGCTTTCCTGTTTCTGAACCGGATAAACATGTTGCAGAGAGGTTGTCAACCCCACCTCCGGAGCGCTGCACACTAAAGGGGTCTGTGGAATCTGTTGGTCCCCTCGTACACTGCGATATAATTGAACTAATACCAAGGGACTTAGCTCCTAAATTTAGACTCTTAAAAGGTTTTTGAAAATCTTGCCTGTAACATACAGAAATAAATCAGTTATTAAAGAATCCATTAGTCAGTTATTGCCCCATTAGCTTTTTGTGAGTTCATCTGTTTAAAAGCTGTTTGAAAAGGGGAAAAAAAATCCCAAGTGATAAAGGAAATAGTCAGTAGCCAAAAATAGCAGAAGAAAGTGATAGCAGAATGACACTGCCAAATATCCCACCTGTTCAGTCTTGCCCCTTGTTTTTGCAAGGGACTCATCGCCACCTCCTGGTCGATGCACACTCCAGTGACTGGCGTTGAGGCCTTACTGCACAGTTATTTTTATTGATAAAGTAAAAAAAGCTGAGGAATTAAATTCAAAAGGGAAGTTTTTTTGTTAAAAAAAAAAAAAAAAAGACTCTTCCCTAACCTTCAGTGCTTGGTCTGTGGGCCACAGAGAAGGAAGAACAGGTTTTGCCTGGGCACATCTTCCCAATGAAGCACTTTTGTTCTCCTTGTAAGACACTGCCTGCTCTGCCACAACCATCCACGCTGAGCTGTAAGTCGTGCAGCGAGACATCAGCCAGCCTCGTGCACACAGGGAAGGAGACATCTCATGGCTGTTCCCCTGGCTCATGATGATCCTGTCATGCTTATTGTGGAGCAGAAGCTTTGGGACAGATGAGGGGAGGGGAAGGAGGCACTGGTTTTGGATAACTAAACAAATGCAGTGAAACTGCCGCTGTGTTTCAGCAGTGCAGCCTCACGTACCGTAATAAAACATGTCTTGCCTTGAATTACCCTTGAACTGAGGGAGTGCTGCACACTTGAGAGCTGCTTCTTTCACCCACCAATTTTGTTTACCAGACAACCATGCTGGAGCAAGCAATCAAAAACACCCAGGAGAGTTATGATGATGAAATTCAGCTTTACAATGAGCAGATTGAAAACCTTAGGAAGGGGATAGAGGAGGCTGAGAAGACCTTGGAAAAGTACACGACCGACTGCCGCCAGCTGGTGATCTACCAGCAGTCCCTGGAGAACGAGCTGGAACGGTACAAACGTATCATCGAGAACGAGGAAAGCCGGTAAGGCTGGATTTCTGGACTCTCACAAAGGTGCCAGTGATCTCTTTTATCTCCTTTCGAAAATGTATGTTTAAGGGCATTTGCTCCAGACAAAACTATGGCTGTTACACCAGTAGCTGTCCAGGGATGGCAACCTAAATAGATGCAAAATCTGGTCAAGCCTCTGCCAAAGAAAGGCTTAGAGCCATTTTGAGCTTCTCCTTTCCATATACTGGCCTGACATCAGTATTGAGGTCAGGAACATACAAAAGCAAACTGAACACCCTCTCCACTGCCCGGCTGTGAGTGAAGCTTGCTGATACGTTACAGGCTGGTTGGTCTCGCAGGACTCAGACAGGGCAAATGTCCTGTACAGCAAAGCACTCTTCACAGAAAGGGGAGGAAAAAGAGTAGGCTGCACGAAATTTTCATGGATTTGGGTGCCTCTCTTAAACCTACGGAGGAGCAATGGCTCCCTCTTATGTCCACCATCAGCCTCGCACAAGAAAAGGAGCTGGGCTCTTGCAGCCGTGCCTGGTGCTGCCTGCACCGGCAGATGCAGCAGGACCAGGCTCCCAAGCGGCCGAACTGCTGCTCTGGGTTGTCCAGAAGATGCAGGGGAAGGACACTCACTAATAGTCAATCTGCCATGAATGGGGAAAAGCTATTTCATCAATTTTCAGCGTCTCATTTTGGATACTGCATTCTGGTAAGGAGTATCCGGTAAGGGTAATTCTCAGCACCAAAAAAAATCAAAACATGCGTCTCTCACATAGCTACACAGCATGTGTGTCCTCCTGAGAGGCCAAAATAGCTCAAGTTTTGGCAGAGCAGACTGGAAAGGCCACAGGCACAGTAACTAGTTTGCATATATGCCAGCCTCTCCGTTTTAATTTTTAACCCTTAGTACCACTGACTCCTCAAATATTTTCCAAGGAAGACTGCTCAGTTTTCTTCTTGCCCTTCTGAAGTCAGGCATATACAGGTTAACATTGTAATGGCTAGCAAATTTCATATTTTACTGGCCAGCATGTACAGCTCTTGCTGACCTCTGGTAGGCATGGATTGACCGTTTGCCCATCCAAAACCTTCCCATCCTTTCAAAGTGCTGTGCTAAATTGCAAACTTGTTGCTTTGGGTTTTAACTGCTGGTATACTTTACTGAATGGTGCATCCCATATCTCCTGCTGGTGGAAACCGACCTAACTCCTGCAAAGGTGCTGTGGCTGTGTTGATTTTCTGCAGACAAGAAACAGGCTCCTGTCATTCTCTTTGACTCCTCACCACAGAGACATACATTTCTTTAACCTCCGTGCTTCTTTTTGTGCAATTTCACTTGCTTTTGATGGAAACGAGGGGGAGAGGTCTGACTGATGTGCGTCTTCTCCGGCAGGTTAAACTCTGCTATAGCAGGAACGCCAGTCACACTCTTCACGCAGATCTATAGACCTGTCCAGCCTCAAGCTTCAAGGGGAAGAGGTAAACCTGTGACATGTCTTCCTGTGTCTGTCAAGAGCAGCATCATTGTATTTTAAACTCTTTTTCCATTTGTCTTCCATACAAACACCAGCCATGACAGCCTGACTCCAGGCTTGCAGCAGTTTCAGCTTACCTCAGCTGGCTTTGGGACAATAAGCAAATAAGTTTCTTTGCTGTTGATTGGCTTAAGTAGTAAAGTGTAAAAAAGAAGCAAAGTCAGAAGGCACCTGAAACTATGGAAAGAGCTGGAGGTTTTGAGCTGACTTGTTGCTAGTCATTGGCTCACGCTTTAGTTACATGCAAAGAGCATCAGGGCATGTTGGGTGCTAGAGGCAGGCAGAGGACACTTTTTTGGGCCTGCTTACATGCCATGGCCTGGTTTCCTCTCAATGATGTTTCTTCCTGTTGTATGTTTGCTTGTAAGACTTAGGATGCTTGTAAACCTGGTGACAAAGAAATGGCCAGGACTAAACTAGGGAGGCTTCTCTTAGCAAAGAGGGGAGCGGGTTTATAGAAAGGTGCTGTAGGTACTAACATCTGGGATGACTTACTGTAGGTTAAATCCAAGGCTCACTGGGATTTTACTAACTACAGACTGCTTTGAGAACAGAAATAAACTATCAAATTAGGGTTTTTGGGGAGTGCAGCTGTAATTTTTCTAACTGCTCTATGAACTGTAGCAGTTTTATATGGCATAGGTCTGTAATGCCTGAGGCCAAAGCCTCAGCAGCTGTAAATAACGTGTCCTGCAAAGTGCTGTGTTATACCCACTATAACCACACCTGCAAGGCAAACAGGGCATTTTATGTGCAGTAGTGTACCTGTGACATGGGACAAAACAACTGTCTGCAGGAAAGCATAGTAATATCTGTCCTCTGGCCCCGCAATTCCCAGTACCAGCCTCTGCCTCCTTTGCTCTAGCTGTTCATGCCACGGAAATCAGGGGCCTGCCTGCACTCCTGCTGCTGAGCTGTCCTGGGGTCTGTGGCTACTAACTGCCCAGGTGACCGGACACACAGCCTGTGGGCAGGGCTTCCCTCTGCACGGGCCTAGAGCTCAACATCAGTGTCCGAGTGATGCCAGAACATAGCTCTGCAGCACTGCACCGCTGGCTGGGCAGCTCCATGCCCAACAGCCGCTCACTGCTCCCTCCTAATGCACCTCCCTGCATCTGCCCGTACCCAGAAGTGCCATGAGGGCTCTGACTTTGGGCCCCTGCCTTAGGAGAGGAGGTTTCTGGTCTGGTTAACAGGGCCAAACCCTGCCACGATGCCTGGGAGGAAGGTGCTGAGTCCAGCTGCAGGTGTGGAACGCTCCTGCCAAGCGTTAATGCACACCTGATAGGTGAACATTTTTGTGCAGCTGCCTTACATGCACAGCTGTCCTGTCCTCACACTGTGTATGGCAGGGGCAACCTCAGACGCAGAATGGCTACTTGGCCGAGGGGGCCCAGGCAAGAGGAGAGGCTGTTTAATGCGCTGACAGAAGCTGTGCTTGCGTTTGATGCTGCATTCAGCTCTCCATCTGCAGCAGTGAGGGCGAGAGGCAGCTCTAGCATTTGCAGCAACTGTGTTCAGCACTGTTTGTTGTCCGCTTTGTTTTGATTTTTCCCTAGATATCACCCAGGTCGTGCAAGATATTACCAGTGTAAAGGCCAGACAAAAAGCTCTGACAAAGAAAATTGCCAGGAAAAAGGAGCTGATGTCTAGAGACATAACCGACGGTTTCTCGCCTGAAAGAATGTATGAAAGAACTCTGGAAGATTTTGACCAAGATCAGCTGGAGTTTAGGCATGAAGGCTCAGTCACCTGTGAACCTGGGCAGGAAGGATTAGAACTCGATGAAAAAGAAACAGGCCCAGAGGATGTACCTGATGGAGCCCAGATAAGTAAAGCCTTCGATAAATTGTGTAACATTGTGAGGGAGAAAATAAGAGTCCACAAGAAACCAGAGCCTAAACCTGATGCCTATCCCAAAGGGCGTTACGTGCTGGTAACGGGGGAGGAACCCTCTGAAGAACCTTGCATCTTGGCCCCCTGCGTCCCAGCGAGGGGAGGGATCACAGTTTCCATCAGCAACGGGAAGGTGATGAATGGTGGTGAGGTAGAGCCCATACCAGAGCTGC